TAGTCAAACGCCTGCGTCATATCACAAAATATGGTGCTAACAGGAATGTTTTTGTCTACATTTATCATGACTTTATACAAGAAGTCATAAATAGCCATATTTATTGTTTTATTATTACGAAAGCCTTTCTGTTCCTGAGTTAGTATATTATTCTTCTTAAGATAAGTGTATAATTGTTTATATTTTGTTTATGTTTCTCAAATATTTTAGAGATAATACTTATGAGAGAGATAGGTCGGTAGTATTGCATAAGTTGCTTATCTTCTTTTTTAAATAACGGCTTTACAATCGATATTTTTAGTGCCTCTGGAAAAATACCAATATCGATGCTTAGATTTAAAATATAACTCAAATGTGTACCGATTTGTCCAGCAACAGCTTTGACGACCTTCGTTGAAAGACCGTCATAACCCACACTATTTGTATTTCTTAATGAGTTTATTATTTTGTATATTCCCGCAGGGTACACGGGGCTAAAAGGAAGGAGTTTAATCTGTTTTCTATTAAAAATGTAACATTTTTAAAAGAATTATTTATGGGGATTATTTTTTCAATAAAGTATGTATTAAATTCATTAGCTATGGCTTTAGGTTTATTGATTATATTATTTTTGATTTTAATTTTTCTAACAATGTCTCTGGGTAAATTTAGTTTTGAACTATTAATTATCTGCCAAGGTGCTTTAGATTTACACGCAGAGGTCTTTATTGTATAGTTATTTTGCGCTTTCCGAGTAAGCTTAATTATAAGTTTTAATCTTTTAGAATAATTAGTAAAAATATTTTTGTTTATTTCATTTGGTTTATGCCTATATTGCCATAATAATTAGCGCTTCTTTTTGCTACATATATTTATGCCGTGGGATATCCATTTGGGTTTTTTAATAATTTTAGTTACCTCGGGAAAACATAACTTATAGTAAAGAGTAAATGTATCTAAAAAAATATTGTAGGCATCATTAGGATCAGAAGTTTCGTATACATTCGAAAACGATAAGCTTTTTAAACAACTTTTGAATTTACTTATGTTTTCCTTACAATAGTCACTTTTAGTGACTCGCCAGTATTTATTATTAAAAATTGTTTGAACAATAAATTTGAATATTTGTGCTGTGTGATCAGATAATTCTAGTTCACGCATTTTAACAACTCATTTTTAGTAAAGTTATGAGCGATGTTGTCAATACATGTTGACTTTTTAGTCGAGTAGGTTGATTTACTGCCAATTTCAAACCAAAATTGATAAATACACATTCAAAATCTAAAGTCTGTACATTTCGCTTCAATAAATCTACGTTAAAATCACCCGCTATTACAATATTAGCATAACAATTCTTACTTAGTGTTTGCAATATTATTTGTATTTTCTCTATACATAAATTAAAATTACCAAGTTTAGGATCCCTGTATATACATGCTAAAACTATCTTATAGTCAATCAGTTCAATTGCGCAACATTCAAACATGCCTGTCACAGATATTTTTGCAATTTGATTTAATTCCTTAAACCGATGGCCGTTTTTGACGAGTATGCATGATCCTCCTCTCTTACTTTCCTTTCGAGCAAATCATGCTGCTAGTTGATAATTTGGAATACTTAGGAGGGATTCATAACCTTCCATGATAAATTGTTCAGTAAAACATAAGATGTCCACATTTATATTTTCATCAAATAGATCATCAAGGCTCACCGAGATTGCTTCAGATTTATTAAATAATCCTGCAATATTCTGATGTAGAACGTGCAGGTGTTCAGTGGTCATGAAAAAAGGTTTCTTCATCTGTTCCCTGCGGCTTGCATTCATTGATTCTACTTGATTGGTTCAAAATGATAATTACTTGATCGTCATGAGCAGAAAATAATTCGCAATCTATCATTATATTTGACATAATGTTCTCGTAGATGTTCTTCCATCCGGTTTTATTTATTCTTCCAGTCCTATAGGAAAACATTTCATGTGTCAGAGAGAAATTACTGTCGAAAAAATAGGCATATTTTTGATTCCTTACGTCTAAGCACAGAAGATTATTGAATAGCTCGACTCTGTAATTGTGTATGAGTGCACCTTTTATGTAGGTTGGTGTACATATGATGCTATTTGTATGAGTTGCATTTTTCAATGACTTTTTCAGGTCCTCCAATATATTTAAGTGCTCGTTGTTTTTTATATCGTTTTCACCTATAAAAATCAAGCAGTAATCTTTCATTGTAAAGTCTTGTAGCTTATTTCCAATATTATTTAACCAATCGTTTGTGGCAGTATTTGGCAGTAGATAATGGCAGTAGTCAAAATCATCCAAGAATATTTTTTCAATTAATGGCAGAGTTCCCTTTGTGCAGCCGCTGCTTATTATACACAGTTTATTTTTTTTTTGTTTAGATGTGGATTTAGTGCCTGCTAAGTTTTTGTTAGCAATGTTGCACTGTTTTGATGATGTTTTTAGATTTTGTTCTGTTTGTGTATGTGCGTCCATACTGAGAAGGGTAGTCTGTGTTTCTTTATTTAACATATTAGAGTTACTCTTTTCGTTATTATCCTCTATAGTTTCTAACTCAATGTCTTGTGTAACAGGCAATTTCTGCTGTCTGTACTTTTTTTTACGAAATGATGACGATGTATTATTTTTTCTATCTGGGGTTACGCAGATATTTTTATAAGTTTCAACAGTTTTTAACGATTTTTGTAGATCTGATTTCAATCGAAAGTTCTCACAATTCAAGTTTTCTATTTCTTGATGCGCACTCATTAGTTGCATCTTAAGTATTTTTATTTCTTCATTTAAACTATTAATTATGTCATTATTGCTATCGTTATGTAGGCTATCTGGCAAGCTCATCATAGTGGTTTCGAGTATTGATTTCTCATGCTCATCAGTCGAAATAGATAAGCCTACTATCGAGTCTAACGAACCAGTGGTTTGTCGCTTCCTGTATGTGACATTATCGAATGAATCTGAATCCATATTTTTATTTTTTTTTTTTTAAATTCACAGTTTAACTTTCTTCGTAAATACTTCAAAAATACATACCATGCTTCGTGGGTTCGAAGCCACGACCACTTGATTCCGCAGCTACATATACGTAACTGTCTTACGCATTGGACCACCAAGACCCAATGGATATTGTTGAAAATGTCTATCATAAGTCAATGTATGAGAGATTTGAATTTTGCAAAGCCGTTGATATGACTAATCATTTAGGAATTTTTTTTTCACTTGATGTGCACTTTGTATCGAAGTTTTTTATTCACTTTTTATGTTTTTAAGTCACTTTACATATTGTTTAGCGAGTAGGTTATTTGTTTATATATATTATTACTGCAATTAACACTTTTTTAAGATATTGTTCCAGTTTGTGTACGATTTAGTCTTGATTTATTTACACTGTTATTTTTTTTTACTAAGTTTAGTACTAAGGTCTTTGATAACGTCACAACCGATTTTTTTGGATCACTATTCACGGTTTAACAATAAATTTAACTCGGAAATACGATAAAAATTATTTTTAAATTAATTATAAACACGGAGCTTTTTTACTTAGATGCTAGCAAGACAGCGCCATCTTGTAGACATGTGAAGAAAAAAATGTGACAAGCACTAAGAAATCATAACTCTCTAAAACGTAATAAATAATTTTTCTTCATCGCTAATAAAGCGTCGTTCTTTGAGGACCGTTTACTAGGATCTAGGACATACCTTTTTAAAGGTAATTTTATATTTTTCAGATAAATCCCTACTCAAAATTGCCCGACGTTTTATATAATTGGTACAAAAAAGTATATATTTTTTCTAAATTATCGAAAAAAGTCGACACTTCAATAGCATGTTGCAAATTTAGTGCGTGTGCAGCACAATGAACATAATCGGCATTTGGGGCACATGTTCTTTTATAAGTGCTTGTAATCCTCTGTATACACCCGACATAACACTTACCTCATCGTACCTTTGTCTTCTACATTTAGATAAATCAATTCCATATTCTTTAATCGTATTTAAAATTTCAGTTTTAAGTTCTTCTGCACTGCAATCGGATACTACTATAAACCCCAAAAAGGACTCATAGATTTTTAATTCTTTAGGTACATTATCATCATTTTCTCTTATCGAGATGTACCTATCGAAAAACTACATAAATTTGGTCAATTTTTGACAAGTCTTATGGTGTATCCAAAATAATTGCGAGAAATGGAGCTTTTTTAATTTCTAAAATAATATTATTCCTAAAAATCTTATACTTGAAAATTTTAAAATTTTTTTAACACCTACTCAAGGAAAAAAAAAAAAACACAAAACAAAAACCCGGACCCCACGCACCACCCGCCACGGGCCGACCAACTAACGTACTTAGGCACGTATTACAGTTTTTTACATGTTTTTTTCCCGGGAAGCACGAGATTAATAATATTTCACAAATTTTTGTGAACACACGTTAGGGGCCCCCGTGATCCGGGGGCCCCGTATCATTGATACGGCTGATACGGCGGTAGCTACGCCCTTGACATAAACATAACAACATAAACATTGTTGAAACGAAATACGTTTTTGCCTACCGATCCACCCTTACGAATGCAGCTTATGCATTAAATCAGTTAAAATTATACAGACCACCCCATTTGAATTTAAAAGATGAAAGGCACAGAATGTTTGAGATTTTTGAAATTAATTTTTCTTCACCAATTGCCTATATTACTTATTCTTTGTTTTTCCTGGACCTTCTATGCCAATTTAGGCGGTTATTGCAAATAACCCTGTATATAAATCCTAACTCCGCTGTATGCATCCACTTACCATCAGATGGACTGCTTCTTCGTTCGTTACCTTTATTCTATAAAAAATATCATTGTCAACCAATCACTTAAAAATTAAAATTTGAGCACATCTAAGGATATATAGAAAATGACCATTAACCCTCATGAGTGTAGCTCGGTAGACTGTTTTTGGTTCCTACCATCACACCATCCCCATCACCTGTTCCCAGGAGTGTAGAAGCTACAAGTTTACCTCATGCTGCAGTAAGTAATGTCCGGGCAGCAATCCCTGCAACTGATCCAGCGTGGTCCCAACCACTCTGCTTATGGCTGGCAGCATGTCGCCGTCTGATTTCACCAACTCGTCCAAACTGACAGTATCACATCGCACCACATCACCCGATGAGCCTTCTATACGAACTGAAAATTTAAACAAACTCAATGCATAAATTTATAGTGCATGTAAAAAGCATTCTTATAAAGTAAGGTTATTATTATATGAATGTAGTGACTATTTAAAAGAAAAGAATGCGCGGAAATTGTGTAAATGGAGGGAAAATAGTCAACTTGTGAGTTTCTTACTATTTTTTCTCACAAGGACTCCTCACAGTAGGGACTTGTTTGAGGCGATAGCGTAGCTTAAAGCTTTCAAATCGTGCTTTGTGAAAGCTAGTTTAAAAAAATTGACAGTTAAGGTGAAACCTACGGACTGCTCCCAGCTATTCTCCCGCAAGATGGCGCTGAATTCAACATTTCAAGTTTATTTGGGTTTTTGTGTGATTGGAAAATTATTAAGTCGTAGGAGTAGACTTTGCGGTTATCGGATATTACATTTTATTGGAATGGGTCATATCATTGCCTCAAATCGACCCAATTCGACACAAAGCTTGATTATAACATCTGCCATTGAATATAGTGTTGTTTACACACACAGACGTATCCCTACGTTTACAAAGCTTGAAACTAGATGGCGTGTATGTAAAAACAAGATTTTATTTTTTCTGTATGTGTAGATTGCGTAGGCAGAACTACAAAACGCTATGTACTATTGTTATAAAAATAAAAGTTATATTTGCTGGCGTAAACTATTAAATTGATTTATAACTTTGGGAAATATATTATTTCAACATTGATTACAATATGACGCAGTTTTATTTTATTTCATTACACTATTGAATTTTTTATCAAAACAGAAGTACCTATTTGAAGCAACATAATTATGCTAATACATGCCCCACTCAAAACTAATAACACTGATTATTTGTAACAGTACCAATTATTACAATAATTAGACATTTCATAACCAACAAGTAAGAAACTATAATTCATAAACAAGAGATAACGATAAATCTATAACACGATTTATTTTGTGATTATTTTTTACCGGGAAGGTGAAAATAAATTTCCTAATTTCAAAGCACTCAACAAAAGCTTTTAGTAAAACAAAAATATAAATATACAATATAGTATATACAAATCTTCCTTCAATTCTATATGCATAGGGTTGCGTTCGGATCACAAGATCTAGAACACTAAAATGTACAAAAATTTACTTATCTTATTATTTCAATATTATCTTTATATTCCTGGTAGAATTGGCCGACGAATAAGAAAAATATAACTCAGATTAGAATAAGCTATTTATTTATAAACAATAAAGCACGGAACAGAAAAAAGGCTTTTATGTAACTGAATTATATTTGTTTTTGAACGCACCATAACCGTGAACTTAAGCTCTACAAAATATAACAAACTAATAATGTGTGCCTGTCTGAAACTGAAAATGCGTTAAAGGTGTTTAATGTAACCCGGCAAAACCATATTTAGCAAATGTTTGCAAGTTTAATTTTGTGACTATTTTGGTAGTTTACCGATTTATAATAATTGTATTTATTTTTGACCAAAAACATATTCAAACACATTCATATATGAAACACAGACACGTATAACGTAGGTAATCAGTATTGTGACGATATTTCAAAAAAATCTTTTACTTAGAGACTTTTGGTATTTATGTTGTCACACAACAATAATAAGTAATAAAATTGTATACATTAAAAAAAACATAGGTGTCTAAGGTCATTATATAGTTTTATGTTATTTTATACTGTTTTTTTAACGGTTGGAAAGGAAATTAACCAATTATTGAACTTAAGATATTGATTTATCAGAATTATTTAAGATCACTTGGATGCCATCTAGAGTGCCAATGTTTAAACGTCGCCTTTCGTTTGCTTGTCAAAAGCCACGCACAACTACTAAAGAAGTGTCAAATTTTTTCGGGATTTCACTATTGTTTTTCTCAGTATATAATGTAAATTATTGCCTATAAAGGTCAAACGCGTACACATTTCATTGTAGAGAAGTGATAAAATGATTAGTTTTAAAAAAAGAGTGTCTGTGTTTAGTGTATAATTTGATTTAAAAATGTATGGACGGCCGGCCGACGTTTCCACCTTAAATAACCCCGTGTTTATTTTCTTTTTTGTCAGCCCATAAATATCCACTGCTGGACGGACATATGGCGCGTCCAATTTGTGGAGAATTTTCCTAAACCACGATCGGCAGAGACATGAGCACTTTTTCTGCTTTGAACGCCTGGCGTTAACGTCTCGGTAAACCGCGATCTACCGCAAGCCATATTTCTCATGGTCGCTTCTTACGGTACCAACGGGACGAAACGTTCACATACGTCTAATGTAAAGTTACAGCCTATATACGTCCCACTGCTGGGCACAGGCCTCCCCCTCATTTCTGTGAGGGTTTTAGGGCAAGGAAGTGTACGCCGCGCTGCCCCAATGCGTGTTGGCGAACTTCACATGTCATCGAAATATTTTTTTTTCTTATTCCTCAGACATGCAGGTTTCCTCACGATGTTTTCCTTCACCGCCGAGCACGTGGTAAATCAGCACTTAAAATTGCAATTAACAATTTCATTAGTGCCGGCGGGGATCGAACCCGGGTTACTTGCGTTCTGTTATATTTACAGCGAGCGTTAACCATCTGAGCTACCACGGCTTATGTGCCACGTGTAATGATTACATAATAAATATATCTGAAGTTCAGTGGATATAGGCATTTCGAAGCATGCGCTAGATGCCAAGCGTCGACGAGCACACAGACCATCTGATAGTAAGTTGATGCTGGGTCTATAGACAATATAGAATTTATTTTGAAGATTTACATAAGTAAGAACCCGTTATTGGCATTATGGATTATCTGAGAAGTTCTGTTAATATTTATAACGTGCTGTTGGTTTTATGATCATACATACATAAACACTCATGCCTGTCATCCAGAGGGGTAGGCTGAGACTACAGACTTCCATTTGGCACGATCCTGACACACCTCTCTCGCCTCCTTCACATCCATATACCTACGCATACATGCTCGTCGGTTAAGGGTACTCCTAATTTGGCCAGTTTTCAATAAATCGCCAATTTGGTCGATAAATTTTCGCCTAGAACGTCCCTTTCCGACTCTGCCATTCACTGCGGCAACATAAATTTTCTTGGTCACGCTTTCCTCTCTGGTAACGCCAGTTAACAATCTACTTTATCAACATTACATTACTCATCGCATTGAGTTCGTCCTAAGTTTCTACTACTTTATCAACATGACTAGTTCATATTTTTTTTCCTTCCTTCCTTCCCTTTCCTACCGCACGCGCTGCCGCCGAGGTGAAGGAAAGGATCTCGGCGCGCGTCATTATACTAAGTGACATTACGCCATCCGCAACGCACGGCCAGCCGTCGCGTCTTATATATATTAACCGTAAACCGCGCAGGACGAACATTAAGTTCTTCTGTTTATCTTTAATACTCACCGCATCAGACATTGTGTCTTTGTAACTCATAAAAGTGTGAGACGCCCCCGTAAGGGCAAAGGTCGAGAGTGTGGGACTTCACGAAACTGTTCCGAGAGTGCGTGTGCGCCGAACCACGTGGCGAGCTCGCTGTATAGCAGACACTCCAGGAGGAAGGCGAGGCAGCCCTCATCAGGTCAGTGCGTGCTATCCCACCTATTTATTTTCCCCCTTTGCCGTATGCACCAAAATTACAGTCCACTAAATCTTTATCGAAGATACCTTAAGTTACTGGCGTCTCCATTTTAATGGTCACTTCTCGCTGGATTGACCTTGACTTTCCGCCTTTATTAGATCGTTATCGTAATAAGCGTTTATATAATTAATTATTTATATTTCAATCCGACTTCGGATTGACCCCGCCCTTATTAGAACACTAAAATAGGTCCTAATAGGTGACATCCATAGTAATTTTAAAACTATATTCATAGAATGAATAAGCATATAATTATCTATATAAATTATTTTGTTGTATGTTCACATCACGTCATCAACTTTTAACTACATCTATAGAATATACAGTTAAATTACATTTATTATTTGCATATATATTTAAGCATTATATTCGTTATAAATAACTTCATAATTATTATAAAAGTTAACAATTAAAGTTCATCGTTAACAAAACTAATATTTAATAATTCAACCGCGTAGCGAGTTCGCTTAGAGACTACCCGCTTATAATTATATTTTGCCGTATAACTTTAGCCGTAATGCCGCCTAAAAAACAAATAGCATCGAATAATAGCGATTCCTCGGATAATGAGGGCACACCTGATGCTGAGTTGGTTTTATTGTTAGCTAAACGAGATGCTTTATTTGAAATAGTGCAAAAAATATATGATATGTCCTCGGACATCCACACGAACACTTCCACGATGGAGCGTTTTCTTGATGGAAGTTCTAATATTAATGCTTTACGTATTGAGTTTAAACAGGTCTTAGATAATTATAATTCACATTTATTAAAAATAAACCCTATTGCTAAACCTGATTATAACAGCCTCATTGCGTTTGAGTCTCTTTGCGGTAGAATAAATAGGCTTTATTTACAATATTCGCAATCTAATTCACAAAGTACTAGTACACCATCTAAAGCCAGATTCACACTTCCGCCTATCGAACTTATGCTATTTTCGGGTGACATTCGCTCATGGCCTTTATTTTATGCTAGCTTTAAATCAACCGTCCATGACAACTCATCGCTCACCGACGCTGAAAAGTTATACTATTTGCTAGGTAAACTAACGGGCAAAGCCCTATCTGTATGCTCAGGTATAACTCCTTGCGCTGAAAATTATAAGATTTTATTGCAAGCACTCGTTGACAAATACGAAGACCGGCGTATGCTAGCATCTACATATATTAATCAGATGTTCGAATTTAAGCCATTGCAATCGGCCACCGCAAATAATTTTGATTTATTTACTGATAACTTTATAAGTGCAGTGCGCGCTTTACAAAACTTAAAGTTAGATAATCTCGCGGACTTAATTGTTCTTCATATCGGGCTTAAGAAGCTGGACCCGGATACCATTCGCTCCTTCGAATACAGTCATAACTCGATAGTACCTACCTTTGATGATTTAGTAAATTTTATTAAGACCCGCTCCAAAGTTTTGCAGCGCACCGATTCTAGTATAAATTCTAATAGCGCGCCAAACAATCGACGAGGTAACGATAATAATCGTCGCTGTAATAATACTTCATCGCCGAAGTATCAGGCGTACGTAAGCACGACGACTAGTTGCTCAAAGTGTCTGTGCGATAATATTGTGCATCAACACCTATTTAAGTGTGCAGACTTTAATAAAATGACGCCGCAGGAACGATTTAAATGCGTAAAGAGTAACAATGCATGTGTGAATTGTCTCAGTTTAAGTCATCGAGTGTCTAGTTGCTCTTCAAATTATAGTTGTCGAGTTTGTAAATTTAAACATCACACATTGTTGCACTTCCACCGCAGAAGCGATAATGCTTCCCCTGCGCTGGCGCATTCTCCACCGCCTCAGCCAGTTACACTGAAGTCTACAGCCCCCGCGCCCGCACACTCGCCACCCCTCACCGCAGGTGCGCGTTCAGACGTCGCGCTGTGTACTTCGTTCAAGAATGTTTCTCAACGTTCACCGCCTCCCGCGCGCGTAAGTCGTTCGCAGAGAACTGTTTTACTATCAACCGCTCAAGTCTTTGCATACGATGCTAAGGGAGAGAAACAAATTATTCGTATATTATTAGACTCCGCGGCTCAAAGCCATTTTATTACTAAAGAGTGCTGTCATCGTTTAGGCGTTCAACAACACGATACCGAATGTACTGTAGTAAAGGGATTCGGTGGAGTTGAAAAAATTGTAAAATCGAAATCGATTTATATTAAAATTTTCTCACGATTCGACTCGAATATTAACTTCAATATTGCAACGCTAGTTGTTGATCAAATCACCGACCTTTTGCCCACCGCTGTGGTAGACACATCTGTCTTATCACACTTCCATGGCATAAGACTCGCTGATGAATGTTATAGCATGCCTAATAAAATTGATGTTTTGATAGGCGCATCCCTTTTCCCGCACTTACTGTGTCCAGACGTAATTTATTCGTCTAACGACTTGTCCGGGCTCTCAGCTTTGAATACGGTATTTGGTTACGTTATTATGGGCTCAGTGCCGACACTTCAGGTAAATCATTCTTTAACGTGCTGCTCAGTTCTAGAGTCTCCTACCGTTGACAAATTAGTGCAACGATTTTGGGAGCTTGAACAGCCACCTTCCGCACCGCCCATTCAGTGTCCTTCAGACATTGAATGTAAAGAGTTTTATAAATCTACGACATCCCGCGATTCTTTTACTGGTAGATATATTGTCGGCCTGCCATTTAAAGATGACGTTTACTCTCTCAGAGATTCTTATGAAACCTCTCGACGACGATTCATGTGCTTGGAGAGGAAACTTCAAGCCTCGCCTACATTAAGGTTAGCATATGATGACGTCATAAAGGAATACTTAGCTAAAAATTATACATCCCCCGCACCGCCGTATGACTCTCATGAACCTGCTCCAATATATGTCATACCGCATCATGGAGTCTTACGCGAAGATAAGAAGTCAACACGTCTGCGCATCGTCCTGGATGCTAGCAGTAAGACTAGCACTGGGCGAGCATTAAATGATATCGTGCATTCAGGACCAAACCCCCTGTGGCTCCATGGGCCTCAGTGGACCTCATTAGATCCATATCAATGGCCTCTTCGTACTTTAGACAATGAGGTTATTGCAAATATGCCTGAGAAGAAGATTTTGTCGCACACTGTGTGCACATCCGTCTGTAATTCTGCGATTTATGAGCTCGCACTCCGCATCTCTTCTTGGAGTAAACTTCTACGTATAATTGCGTACGTGTGTAAGTTTGCTAAATTATTGCCCCGCCGCAGCACTACTGTAGTGACTGCTGATGATCTCAGTTTCTCTGAGGTTATAATGCTCCGCGCCCTGCAAAAACAGCATTTTGCAGTGGAATATTTAAATATTGAAGGTAACAAACCTTGCTCGCCCGCTTTCAATCGTTTAAGGCCTTTTATTGAGAATGGTTTAATCCGCATTGGTGGTCGTCTTTCGAACTCCGCATTAGATTACACGCAAAAACATCCAATTATACTCCCGCGCAGTGATCATGTAGTGAACATGATCATTGACTATTATCATATTAAAAATTTACACGCTGGGCCTGAATTGTTATTGTCATTACTCCGTCAAAAATTTTGGATACTCTCCGCACGCCGCACTGTGAGAAGCAGAGTCCACAAGTGTAATATATGTTTCCGGCTTAGACCCCGTCCAACTTACCCTTTGATGGCTGATCTTCCCCATAGTCGTGTAAGACAAGCTATTAAGGCATTTACACACACGGGCTGCGATTATGCCGGTCCTATCGCATACACTCCTGTACGTCGTCGTGGTGTACGCAGCGAGAAGGCGTACTTATGTGTTTTCACATGCCTCACGACTCGAGCTGTGCATATAGAAATCGCTACAGATCTTAGTAGTTCTAGTTTCCTCGCTGCGCTTAAACGTTTCCTCTCTAGACGAGGGCCGATTCAGTTTTTATATTCGGATAATGGAACGAATTTTAAAGGTGCCGCTTCGTACCTTCGCGATCTCTATAAATTTCTAAACGTTGAATACCGCCCAAAGCTTGAGCAAGAGTGTGCTGAGAATCGTATAACATGGAAGTTCATCTGTCCCAACTCTCCTCATTTTGGAGGCGCCTGGGAGAGTATGGTCAAAGTCGTAAAAACGCATCTGTTCCGAGTTATCGGACATCAGTTACTTTCATACGAAGAGCTTAATACTGTTCTTGCGCAAATTGAGTGCTTGCTAAACTCGCGGCCCTTGACAGTATTAAGTTCTGATCCCGCAGAGCCTTCAGCTCTTACTCCGAGTCATTTTTTGAATACCGCACCTTTATTGTCATTACCCGCACCCGAAGTCAAATCTGACTCTACCAGTCTGTTACACAGGCATTCTTTACTGGATAAATTAGTTCAGTCGTTTTGGGATCGGTGGAGGACGGAATACCTTCACGGATTACAAGTTCGTCAGAAGTGGAACACCCCGTCTACGGCTATCGTACCAGGCATGGTTGTAATTGTGATAAATGATAATGAACCGCCCCTTGCTTGGCCATTAGCGATTGTCGAGTCTGTTCATCCTTCGAAGGATGGCGTAGTTCGAGTAGTGACCGTGAGAACTACTAAGGGAACATATCTCCGTCCTGTTGCTCGTATCTGCCCTCTCCCAAGACAATAAATCACGATTATTTGATTATAATTATTTATCTAAATTAGGAATTAAGTTTATATTTATATATTAAAAAGTATTAAACCGCAATATTATATTTATGTATACATTTTCTTGCTTACCAAGTAGGGTTAGTAGATGACACACGCGCATTGAGCGCATCCTCTCACTTTATATACCGCTTATTTATTTGTTTTCCTTTTCTTTTTATATTACGGTTGTCTTTTAAAGGTGACCCTTTAAGGGCGGGAGGAAATGGTAACGCCAGTTAACAATCTACTTTATCAACATTACATTACTCATCGCATTGAGTTCGTCCTAAGTTTCTACTACTTTATCAACATGACTAGTGCATATTTTTTTTTTCCTTCCTTCCTTCCCTTTCCTACCGCACGCGCTGCCGCCGAGGTGAAGGAAAGGATCTCGGCGCGCGTCGTTATACTAAGTGACATTACGCTATCCGCAACGCACGGCCAGCCGTCGCGTCTTATATATATTAACCGCAAACCGCGCAGGACGAACATTAAGTTCTTCTGTTTATCTTTAATACCCACCGCATCAGACATTGTGTCTTTGTAACTCATAAAAGTGTGAGACGCCCCCGTAAGGGCAAAGGTCGAGAGTGTGGGACTTCACGAAACTGTTCCGAGAGTGCGTGTGCGCCGAACCACGTGGCGAGCTCGCTGTATAGCAGACACTCCAGGAGGAAGGCGAGGCAGCCCTCATCAGGTCAGTGCGTGCTATCCCACCTATTTATTTTCCCCTTTGCCGTATGCACCAAAATTACAGTCCACTAAATCTTTATCGAAGATACCTTAAGTTACTGGCGTCTCCACTCTCAATAAAGAAAAAAAAAACTAGAATGGAAAACCTGATTTTAAGTATAGAGGGTCTCAGGTTCTCCATACTTATAATACGAAGTAAGAGCATTAAGCTGTCATTTTTTTACGCTGGTATTCTGTGAGTGCATGATCCTTCATCCCGATTCCTCTCATCAAAAATCAAATGGTCAAAATTCGACTGTTATTGAAGTAATTTTTAAGTTTGTATACAAAGCAAGCTGTATTTCACTTTGAACTGCACATTAAAACAGATATCTCATATACAAAATATAAAATAGACGCTTTTTGCCTAGACTATTGAAAAAAGAAACATTTGAAATTACACAATTAGCAGTAAATATTTCTTGACAACATTTAAAAATTCTTTTGCGACAATCTCTACTCTGTGCAGCTGTTTGACCACAGACTATTATGTGTTTGACATTAGCAGTATGAACGTATAAACAAAGAATTACTAATTTTATACTATTTAATATACTTGTAGCACATATTATTTATACATATTAGGATTCCGCACTCATACATATAACTGTAACTTAGTTATATCGTTGTGCGGACAACATGCTTAAAAAGGGGTACAAAATGTTCCCTTCAAATATTAATATATAGTATTAATGACATACCATTCATAAGTGACGCGTTCTTCCTCAAATAAAGTGAGAGCGCCAAGCTTCTGATCTTCTCCTTAGAGAGCTGACTGGCGCCCAAGTCCAGCTGGTACTCGGGTATCGGCTCTAATATCACCTCGCCGACCTCACCCTGAAATATTTAATATTTGAATTTTTATAATGATTTCTTATATTCATGCAAACACACACATTGAATAAAAATATTTTTACTGATTTTACCGCATTTATTTTACTTATTTTTTCTTATATTTACGCAAACATGTTTATAGTTAATTTTATACGTGCCATTCTGCAGCTGTATTAATGTTGTAGCACGAATAGGTCAGCTCGACCGGGGACGGACCACACTCTCAAAAAATACCAGCGTAATGCTGCTGTGTTTCGTATGGTGAGTGTAGAGCACCGGAGACCCTTTTTACTGAAATCGAGGTATTCCATCTTAATTGATAGAATCAGGCGTTACTTTGCGGAAATCCATTATAATAAATATATTGATTAATTTGCAACCTTCCGATAATTAAATACAATGATGTGTCTTACCTGGATTGAAGAGCTCTCCCTCAATTGCATGCACTAACTCCGTCACCACTAGTCCCAGCACCACTACTCCCAATACCACTACTCCCGGAACCACTACTTCCAACACCACTATTCTACTAGTCCTCAGGGGTGAATACCACGATTCTTAATGTGTCTAGCCACAGCATCCACTTACCATCAGGTGGACTGTGCGCTCGTTTGTCACTCAATGCTATAAAAAAACTAATTTTTTTAATCTGCCAAAACAGAGTGACTGCCGTAAATGAAACACGCAGTGGTGCTTTGTGGCATATTTAGTTTGCCACATGCTCAGCCGGCGTCCGTAATATCCCTAGCCTAGACACAATTTGTTGTAGTTGTTGGTCTAGTAGTATGTAGAAGCCTTTGATTTCATACAAATTTGACAGTCACCTTCACTTTATGCGCGCAATGCACAATAACATCGTAGTTTTCTTGACTTGTTATATTCCTCACGCGCCACTTCCTGAAAGACCGTGGCGGTGGCCTCTCGAACATCGTGTCTTGAACATATCAGAAAATAAATTAATTGGTTTAGGTATCATTTAAAATAGACGCGGCGCTCCATCTATCTTCCTTCGTTAGTTTGAGACACAGATTTAGACTTGTGAATTTTGTGTTTTAACTCGATGTGCTCTCTAAATATCATATCAGCATAATGAACAGCGTTAAAGGCAGTGGCGAAGCTTCCATAAAAGCCGAAAAGCCGGGCTTGCCTTATTAAAACTGAATCAATCAATAATATTAGCTAATAAAATAACTCATAAACTGTTTCAAATTATTTCAATTTTCCCGCTCACTCCACTGTTCGACACATGTCGACCGATGGCCTCGTATTGCCTTAGCGATACGTTTATACAAAGATACTCTGTGGCGATACTGCTGCTGTCATAAAGTGAGTTTTAATAGAGCGATTACTTGTCTCCCTCGCTCGCGTGGGCTTTTTACGGGGCTTTCGAGAAGACGATCGCTCTCTTTCTAACCTATGGCAAAATATTCTATAATGAAATATAACTACGAAATGTTTATATAGCAATTACTATTGAGCCACAAGCCTGGCTTTGCCATGAAGTTGTTTAGGAGTGCGTTAGCGACTAGCGAAGTGGTTGCGGGCCCCTCGTATGCAAGTTCACTTCACATTTCAATGTTTTTGTTTGTTTTTGTTGTGTTTGTTAAAAAATTATGCTTTTTCGAAGATTTTCAGTGAAAATGGGAGGATAATAGTGTTCATTGTGATGAATATAAAAGTGTTGAAGTGCTAATCGGCGAGGAAAAGGTAAAAATCTTTAAAAATGAAATCAATAAACATTTCTTCATACATTAAATATAGGTACAGGACTTTTTAGTATTAAAGTTTAATTAAGTTAGGCGTATTTAAAGGTTTAATAACTCAATATTTATATTACCATACAAATTAAAAATATCAATTTGAACAGCAGCATAAAGTATGAGACCTAGGTTTAATTTTAGAGGAAATAAGTGTTACAATCTTTTTTTTAACGTGAAGCCCAAATTTTAATTAAATAAATCAAAAGAATACAGAAGAATGTATTTAGGTTTTTAAAGAATAGTAATCCCTTTAGTTATTTCCAGTTAGATTTTTCTGTCTACTTTCCAGTATATAAAATTTTAATGGCGCCATCTACTTAATTCTATAGGTAAAGTCATTTTATCGAACGAAAATTGGTTGATTCTCACGATGGTACCTAAAGATTACGCTAGATGGCACAAATACGCTATCAATGATGGCACCATTGGATATATGAGTTTAAAAATATCATTTTGTACGGTTTATTATGAATTGAAAATGAATAATTATAATTATAATAAATAGTCATTATTTTATGGTAAAAAATTAGCAAAGCTTTATCTTCTCATTATAACTATCTAATTCCTGTCGTAATCTGTTCTTTTATGCATATAACTTAAACAAAATATAATTTCGAGGTTTTACATCTGCCAGGCGTTCCTTTTTTAACTTTGTACATAATTTGTTTGTACTTTGTTCATGCTTTTCTTTTGTTCATGTATTGTATTGTTTGTAAATATCTCAAGCAAACCCAAACGGCTCTTTTCAAAACCACCGTAGGTGTGCAATTGCATATTATGTCATACAATCTATCTAGCGGTAGTATGCTTTCTGTGTGCTTTGTTAAATACGTCCTTGTCAGCACTGAACATGAAACTAAAGAGTGGAGACAGCTCAAGATTGGTGTATTTTTATTAAACTGCTAAAAACAACAAAACCATATCTTGGGCTTGCCCTAGTTTGGAGACCTAGCTTCGCCACTGGTTAAAGGTGCTCATGTTTGTTACTATGATCGTCAACTCGCTTCCGAGCGTCACGATTAAGAGGCCTACGTCCATTTACAGTTTGACGAAGAAGAATGGTGAGCATATAATTTATACAGAAATAGTATGTATAACTATATTTTGCATTTTAAATTTTTTAAATGTAAAGGATTGGCGCTCATGGCAGTTTTTACAAAACTTGTGGTCACCACAAATCATAATATCATCACTAATCCAGACGATAAACGTACAGATATAATATTACTAGCTTTTTGTCACCATCAACAGTTTCATAATAATCATCATTACAGCTCTTCACTATAGGATATACGCAGAAGAACAACAGTGACCGACATAGCCCAACGAATTAGTAAGCTGAAGTGGCAATGGGCTAGCCATATAGCTTCCAGAACCGACAACCGATGGGGAAAAAAGGTTTCGAGTGGCAGCCTCGTACCGGTAGGCGAGGTGTAGGGTGACCACCACTAGATGGAGTGACGACCCACGTCGATGGATGCAGGTGCTTTATGGCATTTTTTGCCTATGTTCAGTTGGAGGACTATGTTCAGCGGTGGACCTGTGAAGGGCTGTAATGATGATGAATAATGACAACTCTTCACAAGTCTGGACTGCTGAACATAAGCCACCCACAAAGCACAGTCCCGAGCCACCTGCATCCATCGACCTTCTGCATGTCCTATCAGGTTGTCACTCAATCAAGTGAGGGTCTGCATATATTACGTATCTTACTGTATGGCAGTTTCATTACATATATCACATCGTTGGTCCAGTGGTTGTAGTAGTGCAACTGCTAACCATGAGGTCTTGGGTTCGAATCTCGGGTTGGACCAAAAAAACAGTTATTGAGTTTTCTGTCAGGAAATTCTCAGCAACTGCCCGGAGTCAGGAAGTTGGCGTTGTTTCATCCCCATTCCTCGGAAAGCACGTAAAGCCGTTAGTCCCGCACCTGATCTTCTCTTCGGTCGTATCGTATTACCGTCCCATTGGACTATGAGAGTGAGGAAGTAGAGAGCGCGCCTGTGCTTGCACAATGCGCATATACTTGGGCTCTATAATCTTGTCCGGCGCCGATGGCTAATCTCCGTTGAAGCTGGCCCCCGTGACCGAAATTCAGTCTGGAGGACATTATTATTATTACACATAATAACTTTATAATCATTGTATTTTATTAATAAGGTCCAGCCCTACAAAGGGCTAAACGCATGCTCAGTAGAGAACTTCTACAGGATGATGAAGATTTATATGACCGTGAAATGGCATTGTAAGAATATCCACTACCATATCGTCCCGTGGGTGTCATGAGAGGCGACAGAGATAAGCAAACCAAGAAATGGGTAGCAGTGTCTACTTACTAACATTTCACCATCGGACAACCAGACTTTCAGCCCTTTCGTTGTTGACTTACCACGCATTCGAACCAAACGGTTTGCTACGTCGTTCATCCTGCGTACAGCAAAGGAGTGGAATAATTTGCCAGCATCTGTCTTTCAATCCGATTACAATGTGGGTGCCTTCAAAGCAAGAGTGAATATGTTTTTGCTAAGTCAGTGCGCTTCACCATCTTAGGCTACTTCACCCCTTACCATTAAGTGGGATTGTAGTTAAGCGCTGATTTATGATAATAAAAAAAACTAGAACATAAAAAGAACTGTGGTTGTCAACTCGACTATCAAGTATGGCAACTATGACACATATACCATTTAAAAGGCAATTTATGGGGAGACATAGACCTATGTTCGGATGTGTTTTTCAGTGGGCTGTAATGAATGATGAATGCAATGGTGATGATTTATATGATAGAGCCAGGTTTCTGCCTATGGTGATAAGCAGCAGTGTGTGCACTGCTGTATTCCCGTCTGACGAGTATAGAGAGCTAGAACTAGAGAGAAGCCTTCTCTGTTTTGAAGTTGGCTGCAGGTACAACTCGCGGCACGTAAGTCTAGCGCTGAACAAAACGTAGAGAGGATAGCTGCGAATGTCGTATCAGTACGACGATACGTAGGCTAATCATCCACAATAATGCGCAATAAGGCCACTTATGCGCAATAAAGGTCACCGTTAGACTTTTGTGACGCGAGTTGTACAGGTGCTGCAATAGGCACTTACAATCATGTGCACAGTCAGCTCGTTTGTCTTTCGAATATAATGAAAATAACATTAAATAGCAATACACTATAAGAGTGAAATTCAAATTCAAAAGTTACCCATACGCGCACAAACCAAATGACTCACCTTCGCATGTACATTTGTAGAAGTCATTTTTATCCTTAGCCTTGTTTTTATTCCCGTTTACACCTTTAACAGGACTAGAGACTGCATCGACCTTTGTCTGTTTCGAAACTTCTTCATCTAGGCTTTTCACTTCATCAGTTTCCATCGAATCTGCATCTGAGTTACCATTTGCTTGTGTGTCCTCTATAGGTGAATTAAAAAATAAAAATTAATATACTTAGCAGCTTGGCAATTAACTTTTTCTATAACATTAATATTTAGGAGTATTTTTGAAAAGCTGCACTGATAATCAAATAATCATGATCAAATAAATGATGATCCATTTGGTTTTACATTCAAACTGACATTGCTTCGATTCTGTTTTTTTTAAATTATAATTAGGGTAACAAACAAGCACACAGTCGACCTGTTATCGGTGAATGCTGTAGCCCATGGACATCACTACTAAAGAGTTTGAATAAAATTCGATTGATACAGAACTCGATTCTGTCAGTAGTAGGCCGGCTTTAAATAATATAAAGACAAACACAGCCCGCAACTAAATTACCTTATAAAACTTTTAAAGCATAAAAAGCGCTATAACTCAGCTATAGAAGCACCTGTACTACTTACTTTTGCATCTTATTGATTCTGCTTGCAAGGCAGCATAAAGAAAAATAAAGGCTTTTAAAGATGTTAAAAAATTAAGCTTATTTCCTATGATAGAATTGAAGTTATATCTCTACATAGTATACAAGGTCAGGAAAAAAGTTTCTTCTTATTTTATATACAAATTTAAGACATTTTTGTACAATATATGAGCCATTTTGTCCAATAATTTGTTTCCATCTTGTAGGTAGTGTTATAATCCCATTGCTGTAGAAATCTTGGGATATTTGATCAAAAAAATGCGACATGTAGTTTTGACAGTCCTTTATTGATGTTAACCTAACACTACCCAAAGAATCCTGAAGAGACCGAAACAGTTGAAAATCAGAGAGTGCAAAGTCAGGACTATATGATGCTGAGTGGCCAAAGATGTGTGTGGCGTTATCATGATGAAACTTCCTTCGTTTCCTGTTGATCAATTCCGGCCGTTTCTTCTCAATTTACCGGCTGTAATTTTACTTTACTTTTCTTGCTTGAGTCTCATTAGTTGTTGGCAGTAAAGATCTGAATCGATGGTTTTGCCCAGCGGTAAAAGCTCATAATAAACGATGCCCTTCCAATCCCACCACACACACAGTATCACCTTATTGCGTGTCAATCCGGGTTTCGCCACAGTCTGTGCAGCTTGACTACCCTTTGACAATGAACTTTTTCGCACGTTCTTGTCGTAGGTTTTTTATCATCACCAGTGATCAATCATTTAAAAAATGGTTCGGTTTCATTACGTTTCAATAGAGAATCGCAAATGAGTACACGATTCATTAGGTTTCTTTCAGTGCTTGTGCGATACCTAAATATCGAGCTTTTTTGTAGATCTAGCAATCCACAATTCCTTGGCTATGTCGTAACTACTAATGTGCCAATCTTGCTCCACTTTTTTTTAAATCGCATCAACTGTATCCGTATGATAACGATCAGAGCGAGCTGCATATTGACATTCAAAATTTCCGGACTAAAAACGCTTGAACCAACTTTGTACTACACTTACTGACACTGCATTAGGTCTATAAATATCAAAAATCCTTTTCGCGATATTTGAGTCGCAATTTTCCTGTTTTTGTTATAAAACTTCAGAATTTATCGAATTTCTTCGTTAGATTCACTTATTTTAGCGGACAGAAAAACAATAGAATAATGGCGATAAAGTGTTTTTTACTTTTTATTTTTCTTAATATCCTATATGTATTGATATTAAAACTAGCCAGATACAAACAGTACAACTAAAGAGATTTTACTTCAATTTTATACAAGCAAAATACGAAAAAACTTTTTCCCCGACCTATTAAAACAAAGTCGCTTTCCGCCGTCTGATCGCATAGATCCTTTAAACTGCGCAATAGATTTTAACGCGGTTTCCATAAATTAAAGAATGATTCAAGAGGAAGTTTTGTATGTATACATGCATATGTTGTCGATATTTAAAAATCAACCGTGCTAAGTAGAGTCAAGAATTTAAACTCAAACATTACAATAACAAAGTACAAGTCTATTTCATAACACTGAAGTGACAAATTAACTAACAGTCCACCTGATGTTAAGTGGACACCAACCACCAACCACCACCAACTTCAAACAAAGAAGGCTACAGATGCGTGTCACGTCTGAATCGAAATAAGATGTGTGGCGGCGCTGTCGTCGCGCCACAAGCAAAACACATCGAAGCCTAAATCGCGCTATCTACCACTCGGAACGATGGCCGCTCCCTGGACAGAACACCTTGCCCGGCGGTAGATCTCCCCTTTTCCTTCCTTATTTTTTTATAGAAGAGGGGGCAAACGAGCATACGGTTCACCTGATGTTAAGTGACTACCGCAGCCCATGACCAACCGCAACACCAGGGGAATTGCAGGTGCGTTGCCGGCCCTTTAGGAAGGAGTAAGCTCTTTTCTTGAAGGTCCCCAGGTAATTATCCTGTGATTATTTATACTGGCTCTTCATAGCCTCTAAACCGAAATACGAGCACTGCTATTTGGCTGCAAAAATAGATAACAAGTTGGAACCTACCCTGCCTACGTAGGGTATGAAAAGGAACCCTAAACACTTAGGCCCGGTTTACATTTTGAGAAGTGACAAGAGCGTGTGGCAAGGCCCGGTTTACATTTTGTGAATTGACAAGTGCGAGTGGCAAGTGCAACTGTCAAATGACAAGTGCTTGGTGCCTGTGAACAGGCAGTGACAAGTGGAAATTGTGATTAAATTTCGCACAAAGCACTTGTCATTTATCAGTTGCACTTGCCACTCATTTCCTAAAATGTAAACCGGGCCAAAGAGAAACTGACACATGACAAGTGCTTAGTGAAAATTTTATTCACACATCACTTGTGTGGACTTAGAAGAGTGTGAACACTGCCTGTTCACACTCTTCTCAAAATGTAAACCGGGCCTTAAGCCCGGTTTACATTTTGAGAAGTGACAAGTGCGAGTGACGAATGACAAGTGCTTAGCGCGTGTGAACAAGCAGTGAAATGAAAAGTAACAAGTGAACGAAAAGTAAAAAGCAGCCTGCTCTATTCTCTGACAAGTATCTCTGCCCCGCGCTAACCTTGCTTTCCGCTCAGTCGCCCACCGCCGCCCCCGTTCTAGCTGCGACGTCAGAACATACACGTGTTGGTGATAATAGTTATTAAATAAAATATTTTTGTTATATATATATATATATATATATATATATATATATATATATATATATATATATATATATATATATATATATATATAGTTTTGTTTTATTACGCTATTGTTTTAACAATGGCGAAGTGGTGAGATAACAATAACATTAAATTTGTCAAGGAATTATTGAAATACGAATGTTTATACAATATTAAATCGCTGAATTTAAAAATAAAATGATGCGAGACGCTGCTATGCCCTCAATATCTCAAGCAATGGGAATGCCCGGTTTCGGCGCAAAAGAAGTAGGTATATGCGAAGTTAAGAAGCATTAAGTCTACATATTACCAAGAAAAGAAGAAAATTAAAGACTCCTGCAGGTCAGGGGCTGGAGCCATGACACATTTTTCTCACTTTAGCGTTTTTAGGAAATTGGTGTGCACCAATATCTTTGTAGTAAGGCACTTCACACATCTTTGGTATCTCATCATACATTATCTTTTTTGATTAAAGTTTTAAACTTTAAAGCTATGCTAGCGCCACTTTGACAATTACCAACCCAATTTCACACTAGAAGATTTCACATAATAATGACATCCACTTGCCACATGTGTGAACACCAACTTGCTATTTATCACTTGTCATTGCCGCACGCACTTGTCACTTCTCAAAATGTAAACCGGGCCTAGTCTAGTCCATAATATGCTGTTATGTTACACAGATTTGAACATTGTGACGTTTGAGTTTAAGCTTGAAGTACGCTCTTAATAATGACCTTACAATATAAATTAAACACGGGCAAAGTCCCTTTCCAAAAATATTAAACAGATTTATTATTGTAGAAGAAAAAAGTAATTACTGGGCAGCCATATGTCAGAAACAATAATTTCAAATCACGTCACACTGTGGCGGCGCTGTCGTCGCGCCTCAAGCGAAACACATTGAAGCCTTAATCGCGCTATCAAAGTTCCGAAGTAATACAGTATAAATAGAATAGCTCCGAACTACCCCTCGGAGCGTTGGCCGCTCCCCGGGCAGAACACCTTGTCCGGTTGAAGATCTCCCCTTTGCTTTCCACGGCTAGAACACCATCGGATTTTTTTTAATTCGACAAATCGAAAAATGTACAACAGCTGTTAAGCATTAAATAAATTTAAAAAAAAAAAACTATTTTTATTGTAGCAGTAAAGAAAGTAATAATTACTGACCGGCCACAATGAACAGAGTGTCCTCATCATCACTTGACTCCTCACGGTCTTCCTTCTCATTCACTCCAATACTTAAATCGTTTTTCTTTTCCAGTCTCTTATTGTTTTTATAAAATAATTTCGACTTTTCCAAGTCACTGTAAAAATTTTAAACTAAACATTCGTTTTTTTTTGTAATGAACATTGAAAAATAATGGTAGGTTAAGCCAAATATTATCAGAATTTAAGATTTTGCTCGGGGAATTTTTATAAACGTTAATGATTTAGGTGGTGGATGGAACACAATCGGCTTATTTATTTACTATTATACTAAAGTATAAATTATACAGGTCTCTTTCTATTACCATTTCATTAAAAGTGAGAGAATATATTTTAAACATTTATCATTAATAACGACTGCAGTTATAAAATAGTGCAAGCCAATTCTCCAAAACAAATCCATAAAGTATAAGTGAATTAAAAGGCATGTGGTAGTGGCACTAGAAAACCTAACTCTATGTCATCCCGTGGGTGTCGTGAGAGGAGCTAATGGAAATGCCAAAAAGACTCACAGCTTAAGATAGTTGTATGATACAGGTAAACCAACAAGTGACTGTGCAAAAGCATCAGCGACCTTTTATAAAAAAATCTAACCGCAAGTTTATTTGCCTGCCAAGTGTCGTAAATAAAGCAAAGCCGAGAGAACAATTAGAGGCCAACATCTACTCTTTGGACTACTACAGATCACTCAAGAGGAAGACTAATTGAAACCTAACTTTTAATTAAATTTACTTACGGTACAAAGGCGTATTGCAATAAGTGTCTGAATGCCCGGTAGGTTCTAATTTGTGCACACTCCCTCATTATGGAGAATTCGTTTCCCAGCACGAGTATTTTGCGTTTTTCACCATCTAAAATTATGTGTTATATACATCAAACAGATTTACATGTACCGTTGTCATAGACAGCAGCTGTGTAGCCATGATGAAACTATAATAGTAGTATAGTTGTAACACGAATAGGTCGGAGATGTCTTTTTTAGTGGATATCTTGACACACGTAGGAATGAGATTATGATCTCTGCATCTCTTGAAGAAATTTAAAGCTGTTATGTATCTTGCGCGCTTGGTCTTCAGATCTTCTAATCGGCGTATTTTATTTGCTATTTCCAGTCCGTACTGGTTAACATAATGATTTCTTATATTTACGCGAACATTGCACATGATTAAAACTACTTTTTACGGATTTTATCGCGTTTATTTTTTCTTACTTTTTATTTTTATTTTTAATTCCCGACGTTTCGGGCGCTTTCCAGCACCCATGGTCACGGGGGACTGAGATGACTGACGTCCCGATGTCATTGTTAAACCCGGAGTACCTTCAGCTTTTTTTTAATTATTGTTTATGAATTATTGTTATGATCTTCTAATCGGCGTATAAAATACGCCGATTAGAAGATCTGAAGACCAAGCGCGCAAGATACATAACAGCTTTAAATTTCTTCAAGAGATGCAGAGATCATAATCTCATTCCTACGTGTGTCAAGATATCCACTAAAAAAGACATTCGAGGAAGCGCCAAGATCTTAAATCAGGCTAGTAAAAAAGTTGTTAATAACGGTGATTCAGCAAAAACGTACCGATCTATATTTCATAAACAAAACCATAGACAATTCGTCCAGTGAATTAAAGACAGTTTTATCGACATTTGATTATAAAAATTGCATGGAAACTTTAGATAAACGCGAAATAACTAAATACAATGAATGCAAAAATAAACACATTGATAAATACCATAAATTAACAACTAAATCAAATGTCCAACATACGAAATCGTTGACCACAGACACGAATCATAAACAACGCGCTGTCTACAACTTATCAAAACAAACACTGGACGACGCCACAATAAAAGTTTTAGAAAAAGGTATTAATTTCGCAATAACACCGCGAAAAATACCGTATGAGGACATTATCTGTAGTGTTGAGGACTGTCTGTATAAAAATAATATTGGTAATGAAGATTTAGAGGCCATACGTCAAGACATCTCGTCTATGTTACGTCGAAGTTCAGCGCCGAAATTAAATCTCCCCAAAAATGAATTTAACGCGTTGAAAAACTTACGCAACAGACCAGAGCTTACGATTCTCCGCGCAGATAAAGGTAATTCTACGGTTATAATGGATACGTCAGATTACAAATTTAAAATACAACAACTTTTGTCGGATGAAACTACTTATCGAAAGGTCAAAACAGACCCTACAACTAATACGCTTAAAACAACTAGCGATCTAATTAAGAAATACTCCGAAAAATTGAATCTGGACGTTAATTCGATAATACCTTCCTGTGCCAAACCACCGAAGTTGTATGGGTTACCAAAGATACACAAACCGAATGCTCCATTACGTCCAATAGTGAGTCAGATTGATTCGCCAACTTACAGATTGGCTCAATACTTAGCTAAAATATTATCACCACTCAGAGGACACACAAGAGCACACACTAAGGATTCATACCATTTTGTCAGTGAGATAAAAGACCTACATCTTACTGACTCTATTTACATGCCTACCTGTTGAAGACTGCATCTCAATTATAACTAGGAAACTAGAGGAAAATAACATGCCAGCAGAATATGCAGTATTACTAAGACATTGCCTTACATCTGGCTATCTATTGTGGAAGGAAGAGTTTTACAAGCAAGTAGATGGTGTGGCGATGGGCTCACCTGTATCTCCCATTGTCGCCGATATATTCAGGGAAGACTTTGTGGAGAAAGTCCTCCTTACTGCACCTGTTACACCAAGGATCTACAAGCGGTACGTAGACGATACTTTCACAATTTTACCATCAGACAAAGTAACTGCATTTTTAGAACATCTTAATTCCATAAACGCTAAAATTCAATTTACTATGGAGTTAGAGGCAAATAATTCCTTACCTTTCCTAGATGTGTTAGTCATCCGAAATCCTAATAACACCATTGGTCACACTGTGTATAGGAAAAAGACCCATACAAACCGATATTTAAACGGTGAATCTCACCACCATCCTTCACAGTTAGCTACCGTGGGCAAATCTTTGTTACAGAGAGCACGAGGGATCTGTGACAGCAAACACCTGGCCGCCGAGCTTCAGCACGTCAAGCAAGTTCTGCACGACAACAAGCTTCGGGTCCCGCGCCTACGTCACAGTGACCGAGTGAAGCCGGCCACAGTCGAGCGTGTGCCTGCTGTACTACCATATGTCAGAGGTGTCACAGACAAGATTGGCTATATCTTGAAGTGAGCTTCTATTAGAACATTCTACAAGCCGCCGAAGAAGATTAGTCAGTTCCTACCATCCGTCAAGTGTCATATTCCTCTACAAGATGCAGGAGTGTACAAGCTTGATTGTGAATGTGGTCTCTCTTATATAGGACAAACCAAAAGATCAATTAGGACCCGCGTAAAAGAACATATAGCTGATGTGAAGCATCAACGTTCCGGGAAGTCTGCAGTTTGTGATCATATCCTAGACGGCCCCAACCATTACATCAGATTTGATAGACCACAAATCCTCGCGAAAGAACACCGATTCCTACCAAGGATGATACGTGAGGCTATTGAAATTAAAAAACATCCTAATTTCAATAGAGAAGGAGGCTGGGTACTACCACCTGCTTGGGATCCTATAATCAATAAAATTAAAACTAAACCCAAGCATACCACTGCAAGACCTCAGGACATAGTCAGTTCATTTTGCATAGATCGGCCCATAAACAATAATTAAAAAAGCTGAAGGTACTCCGGGTTTAACAATGACATCGGGACGTCGGTCATCTCAGTCCCCCGTGACCTTGGGTGCTGGAAAGCGCCCGAAACGTCGGGAATTAAAAATAAAAATAAAAAGTAAGAAAAAATAAACGAATAGGTCGACTCGACCGGGGAAGGATCACGCTCTCACAGAATGCCAGCGTGAAATGGTAGCTTAATGCTGCTGTGTTTCGTATGGTGAGTGTAGAAAACCGGAGACCCATTTTACTGAAAACGAGGCATTCCATCTTAGTCGTTACGGGTGACAATGCATCTGTATTTTGATTCGTAATCGAGGATAGATGTAGATGTTTATGAGCTACAGCTACCACTTACCATCAGGTGGATTATGTGCTCGTTTGTCACCCTTATTAGTGGCAGCGTAAGGGAATCCAGCAGCCCACATCATTCCACGGACGCCGTAAGAAACTACAGTGAGAAATGAAACAGCATATGGACAGTAGCTATCTTTTAATAATAACAAACTGCGGTTGCCAACCCGTCTGCCAAGCATGGCAACTGTCAAATAGCCCCCTATGAAGCAATCTGTGTGGAGCCGTATGTTCAGCAGTAGTCAGTACGTTTGCTAGGCTGTAATGAATGAATACTTATAAATGAGAACTAGTTTCATATTAATACTCAAAATCTTTACAGATTTTGAGTATTAATATGAAACTAGTTCTCATTAGTTCAAACAACAAAAGTATTTACTTTTTTAATATGTCAACATTTTTATTAGTAGATTAGTATTTTGTTTTATTTTATGTAATAGCAACATTATAATAGTAATTTTTACTTCCCACTTTATGAGTGAGTGACTTGTTTTGCTTAAGCAATTATGATTAAAGTACCCGGATGACCGAGCTGTGCTCGGTTTTTTGAAGTTACATTTATATACAAATTACATGAATAATAGTTTTTGATCTTATTGACATAATAGAAAAAACTGAACTGGTTATTTGAATAAAAAATCATGAGTGCAATTAGTTTAATTAAAATTTTCGTATTTTTAAAAAATACTAAAAAAAAGGCTCGAAATAATAGATTTTCTCACAAAAGAAGGGAACTTGAAAAAAAAAGGAAAAAAGTCGGACCCAAGACGGGTCGCGAACCACGGAAATCCGATATCACGTCCGAACATCATCCCATTTGAGCTATTACGATCGTTGGTAACCTGTCAAAATTTACCTTCTTATATTGTAGCAGTTTTTTTATTGCCTGAAAACACGGAGAAAAGGACATTTTCTAAAAATAAATTCTAGCTAGATTGATTTATTGCCCCTGAAACTCCCTGGACACTAAATTTTAAGAAAATCGTTGGAGTCGTTTCCGAGATTCTGATTATATATATATATACAAGAATTGCTCATTTAAAGGTATACTTTTACACATTCACGTGTAAATAACTTTTACAAGGCAAATAAATAAATATGCATTAGGCATATCGACTTTTTTTACGTGGTAGAGCCACACTGCAGCTATTATGGTTGTAGCATGAATGAGTCGGCTCGACAGGGGAAGGACCACACTCTCACAGAATAGCAGCGTAAAATAGCAGCTTAATGCTGCTGTGTTTCGTACGGTGAGTGTAAAGATCCGGAGACCCGTTTTACTGGAACCGAGACATTCCATCTTAATCCTCAAGAGTGACAAAGCATGTGCATTTTTAAGCGAGGTTAAATGTAGATGTCTACGAACCACAACATCCACTTAACATCATCAGGTGGACTGTGTGCTCGTTTGTCACCCCTATCCTAAAAAAGAATCGATCTGATTTATATATATACTATATGTGCTAGAGCCACACTGCAGCTATATTATGTTTGTAGCACGAATGGGGACCAGGGATAAAATAGCAGCTTGATGCTGCTGTGTTTCGTACGGTGAGTGTAGAGATCCGAAGACCCTTTTTTTACTGGAAACGAAGCATTCCATCTTAATCCTCAGGCGTGACAACGCATCTGAGTTTTGATTCTTAATCGATGATAAATGTAGATGTCACATCATTATGTACATTTATCCAATTATATATATCGATTAAGTATCAAAATACGGATGCGTTGTCACCCGTGAGAACTAAGATGGAATGCCTCATTTCTAGTAAAAAGTCTCTG